TCACACAAGCATTTGAGGGCATGGAGTGGCACTGTGCAATGGGTAGAAGCCACTCAGTCAGCCATGGCTTCAGTATCTACAAGTGAAGTGGTCACACTAGGATCCTTCTCTAGTCAATGGGGAGAAAAAAAAGCTCTTAAGGGTGTGATTCATGTGACCTACTTTAGGCATCTACTTTGGAATGAGATGAATTACACCTCTGGCTCCATTGACTGTATATTGATGAGATGTCTGCCTACTGTAAGAAAGGAGCTTTGGGTGACTAGCTTAAACTTAGAAGCCTGAATTTAATCAGATTAATTCACCCTATATGTCTACGCATGCTCCTGTTCTCTCTCTTGTTGCTGTGTAGACATGACAGGAAGTGCCCTTTTTTCTTTGTGAGACTGCAAATAAATCAGATTCAGAAAGCACTCAAAAGAGAGCAGCAATGTGAGATAGGGATAGCATGTGCAGGAAACTGGGCAGGAAAAGATATCAGCTTCTCCTCTCTGTCTCTGGAACAAATTCACAGGAATCAAGGGAAATATAGGTGATTTTGTGCCTAAAAATAAATATATATTGGTGAAGTGAGGTTTCCTGGAATCTTCTGGCAATTTGCCACAGAAAAGAAAAAGGTCCTCCGCTCCCTACTGAGATGTTCTTTCTTGAAAGGTTTGGACAATTACTGCATTTTACCTTTCCCACCACAGCGTGGATGCTTTCTTCTTTTTAGCAGTTTGTCTATGAGCGTTTTAGCTTCAGCTTAATAAGAGAGGATTGATGTTCGCAGTCTGTGGAAGGTTGTACAGGGCGGCGTTTCTGCTTGTTGCAGTAAGAAGATTATTGAAAAAGATGCCTCAGACATGTATGGGGGGGGAGTGATAAAAATAAAAAGTAACTTGTCCTCTTCCTCCAATACAAGAAAAAAAACCCAGCAAAAACAATTCCCCCCACAACAAACAAAAACCAAAACAAACCCCACAACCAGTAGCAAACAGAGGCTAAAAAAATCTTAGTGGTGTAAAATGATTGTCATCATGAAAATCGAAGTCCTACCAAAACAGAATGATAACACTTTATGTTCAACCCTCCCACTGGGAATAAAAAGGAAATCTCACCTATTTGCCCCATGGCTCTGACAAAAGTGACTTGAGTGCTTCAATCGAGATCTATAAAAGAGTGCCTTGTTCCATTTATTTATTTCAAGTGCCCACCTCCCTGAGCAGATCTGAGCTCCTGGAAGATGTTCACATACCACCTTGAGAAGGGCTGTACAATAACTGAGATATAATAAAGTAAATTTCAAAGGACGGTGTCACAAAACTACTTCTTTTATTGTCACAGTGCTGCTTTGCAACTGCACAGCAAAGACCACTGTGGGAGCCTGACATCAAGACAGCATTGCCCTGCAGGGCCATGTTCAGTACCCAGTGGAAGAAGGGCTGACAGGGGCAGTGTCTGATCAGCTTCCCATATACTGTAGGTTTTCTTCCCAGCAAAGTGAATGTTGTCACTTCTTCAGACACACACTGCCACTTCCCACCTCTCATAATCAACCAGTAACAATCAAGAGTCAATTTTCTCTCCTTGCCCTGTAGAAATCCACAATGAGACAAATGAGCTTTTCTCCACCCAACGAATGGACTTGGTTTTGGTCCTGTTCCCTCAGAGTTCAGTAAAAATTTTAAGGCTAGTGGTGAACAGAGGAATAGCTTGGGGCCATGCCAGCCCTCTCCTAAACCCTGAATACCATCCCAAACCTCCTCAAGTTGACACAGAGAAGCCTCAAAGTTTAAGATTGGTGGTTGTGCCCCTGGAAACTATGATTCAAGGCTTGGTTTTCCATTAAATATTATGGGGATATAAAAGGCTCCAAGTCAGGCTAACATGAGTGTCTTTTCTAATCATACCTCACCCATGCAAAAGTCACTCTTGGCTGAAATCCAGCTGCAATTCCATTTCTCCCTGTCATTGGATTAAACTGGACCCTCTCTGATTTGTTTTGGTGAGCAGGGTCACAAAAGTCTGGGAGTGAAAATGCAGGGGGTTTTTTCAGCAGCATGGTTTTTATAACAGAAGAATCCATGTTCTGCTGCTAAAGCAGGGGTCTGCTTTTTAGTGGCTTGTTTCTTTGTATCTATTTTTATATATTTGATCTCTTTCACTTTGAAAAATATCAGCAGCAAAATACATCAGAGCTGGCT